AGTCACCTGACCGCCGCCATTCTAGGTAGCTCTTCTCCAGTATACATACCTGAATTTTCTCCCAGTTCTGAACGTTGAATTCAAGTTTAGTTTGATTCAAGACATACTTAATTCAGTTCGTGATGAACGAGGAATGCTATCTATCTCCTAGATAACGGTGTTACACAGATCAAGAAACTGATCAAGAAATTTTTAAGTGACCTAGCACAGGTCGAGGGGCTCGTCGAGTAGTTCACGAAACTGCATTTAAAATTTGTGTAACACCCTGAAATAATCAAATTATTCTTAAAAAATAATTTTCAGCTCTTTTAACCAATTTTAAGTTTTTAAATGGCTTTAGGAAGCAAAATATTTGTACTATTTACAGAAATAATCAGTCTTGTGAGCATAGTGTAAATAGTATGTAGAGCAAATCTGAAATTTATACCATTTTTTGTTTTGTTTTTTCTAGTTCTAAAAAATTTTTTGAAAAAAAAAAAAATTGTCTGCTTTAGTTCTTACTTCGAAAAGAATGTTTCATTCTGAGTAACCTGGTACCTTCACCATTTATAAAAATTAATATACAATTTTGGAAGTTAGATTGGATGCACTATGAGGTTTCAATAGTTCGTGTAAAAGATTTGAATTGGTCTCTTCATTAAAAATGTCATAACTTCATTATTTTTATATTGATTTTAATAAATAGCACCCAGATTTCCTCGGAATTTAACACTATTTTCGTTGTAATGACTAAAAGGGACTATTTCTTTTGAAATTTGGCAAAAAATATTGTGAAATGGAAAAATAATAAAAATTGATGTAAATTTCAGATTTATTCCAAAAATTGCCCACATATTTACAATGTGCTCACAAAACTTATTATTATTTTTAAATAGTACAAATATTCTTCTTTCTAAAGTCATTTATAAACTTAAAATTGGTTAAAAAGTAATAGAAAATGGTGTTTTAAGAATAAGTTGAAGATTTCAGGGAGTTGGAAAAATTAAAAAAAAACAGTTTCGTGAATGACTTGACCAGCTCTTCGACTTGTCGACAACGATGCATGTTAGATAAAGTCCATTCACGTATTGAGAACTTCAAGCCGGATTAGTGAGAGGTTGAAGCAGCTTTGTTTTCTTAACGAATTTTTAAGGAATAGACAATAAAAAATTCGCACATTTAAGCTTCTTTAGAATAACTTTAGAAACGTGAGATGTGGAAATACACAATAGAGGTAATCATATAACTGCTGATAAACGTGAAAAAGTTATAAATTCCATACAAATTTATAACGTTACCTTAATTCGCAAAGGCCCTAACCAATATTTTTTTTTATTTTACAGGAGAAGCAAAAAACTTTATAAAAAGAGTATCAAAAATTGGTAGAGCTTTTTGAAGAGTGGCATGCAACTGCATTGGTTTTGGTACTAACACTTTACAATTTTGATTGAAGGTGTATTCTAATACATTCTAGAAAAATTTGTTAAAAACGCAGTTTCGAAAAAAGTGTTGGTTGGTTTGTGAATTAAGGTAATGATAATTTTCTCACGTTTATCGGCAGTTTGTGACGTTAGATGAATACCCTTAATGAGCGAAACCAGTTTGTTTGTCTCCGCACGGAAACTCTGACGGAAGAATCAATTAATGTCAACGAAATCTCCAATATCTTCAACATTGTGTCTTAACCTTACATCCACAGTGACATAAGATTGATAACAAACCAACTTTAGAGGCGATTTTTTTTCGTCTATGAATATGCCATAAAGACTCTCAAGTTGGCCGTCCTCTATTTAAACCGGCGTTTTCCTGCCGCAAAAAGATTTCAACTTATGACCCTGTATAGATACAAATGTATACGTCAGTCTCTTTATATTAAATAGAAATTAAATGAGTTCTCTGAGCGTCTGCAAAAAAAAGTGGTGTGATTTCTTCACTGAGTGAGTAATTACAGCTGTTCGCTTTGTACGGGCTTTGCTTACCCACAGATACATATATATGTATATACACAGGTATGCGATAAATAAGGGTGCGTTTCCTATATAAGCATATATCCAATTTTCTATGGAAAAGGTCCTTTGAATGGCATTTTTGAGGCTGCCATTGGACTAATATCGATTTTTCGGCGTATATTCCGGTCAAAAACAACCAAAACCGGTGTCTAGCCTATGAGCTACGACAATATATTGAACGTTGTTGTAAGCACTGTAGGTTGCTAATAAATTATGGAAGAAAAGTGAACAAATTTCTTCAAGTTAAACTAAATTTAATTTCGAGTCTTATTTTAAGAACTGGTATTCATTCACTACGGTAATTTTTTCATGCAGTTTTAACGTAGCTGCCTCATTTTTAACATCGGCAATACAACACCAACCAACCACTTTCATTTAATTAGTCATTTGGTAATTTTTCATTTGTGGATTGCGAATATCACTTCACAAGGCGTACCCTTTTTTAGTATATATATGTATAAGTAGGAGCAAAAATTAATTTGCTGAATTTTTGGTATAAGTGATTTGTCCTTTAATCGCTAAAATTTTATTTTGAATCCTTTAAAGTCATTTTGTATTCGTTTTTTTTCACTAAATGACTTACCTTGCTGTATTTTTTGTTACGCAGGCGTTCCAGTCCACTCACTTCTCCGGGCACTTCCGCATCGTCGGCTAGTACCACATTTGGTGTTCTTTCCGAAATATCACTCATTTTGCTGTAATTTCTTAGCTGTTGCTTTTGCAAACTGGTTAATAAATGCTTATTGCTTTGATTGTAGCTATTCAAAACGTCTATGTTGGAACTTAATTCCTTTAACGCCTTAGTGGATAATAGTGGTGGCAATAGATATTGATTCTGTTCGCTGGTATTTACCGTCAAATTATTGACTTCTTTTTCCTTTTCAACTGCAAATTTTTGCTGACTCTGTGACAATTGAGACGACAACGATGACTGTTCGGCGGCGACTCGACTCGTACTGATTTTACTCAATTTTGCTATGCCATTTGACAACTCGTATTCGACAGTTGTTGTCGTTGTTGTTAGTGTAGTCGTATGATTATTGCTCACTTGACTACTACTCATATTTTCGTGAGCATGCCGTGCTCGCGTGGAGCTGTGAGTGTTTGGATTGTCGGTGGCGTGGCAACAATACTGAGCTGACATGGGGATTCCGATTGCACAGTGCTTGACGGTCATTGCGTCACCAA